TCTCCAAACTGATTTCCACAGTGGTTTCACCAGTCTGCATTCCCACCAGCAGTGGAGAAGGGTTCCTATTTCTCCACAGCCTCGCCAGCATTTGTTATTGGTTGATTTCTTAATGCTAGCCATTCTCACCGGGGTAAAGTGGAATCTCAATATTGTTTTAATTGGCATTTGTTGCATGACTAATGGTGTTAAACATTTTCTCATGTATTTATTTGCCATTTGTATTTCATTATCTGAGAAGTGTGTATTCATCTCAGCTGCCCATTCAATTATATTATTTCTAAGACACAAATTTTTAGTTCTTTAACCCTGCGCTATTACAGTGACTACTAGTTACGTGTAGTTATTTAAATTATGTTACAATGCAAATTCAGTTCCTTAGGCACATTTTAATAGTTGACTTAAATTTTCTAGAGAAGTTTTAGGGTCAACGTAGTTAAAAATAAGTGGAAGTACAGTGAGTTTCCATTCACCTCCAGCCTCCTAACTACCCATATCCCTCACCAGTGTGGTACAGGTGTAATGAGAGATAAAGCTATATGGACATGTCATCATTACCCAAAGCCCAACTTTTACACTGAGCTTCACTCTAGGTTCACACTCTATAGGTCTCCACAAAAAATAATGACATACATCGACCATTACAGAATACAGAAGCGTTTTACTCTCCTGAAAACCTTCTATGCTTGGTCTAATAACAGGTAATTATGGATGTTTTTACTTTCTCCAAGTTTTAGATTTTTCAAGTATCAGAGAGTTGGAATCATACAGACATACATGAATAAAACTGCCTTACATGTACATATAAAAGTTTTGTGGGGTATATGTAGGTTTTGAACTGCTTTCGGTAAATGCCAAGGCGCATAATTACTGGACAGTATTGTAAGAATGCTTTAATTCCCTAAGAAACTATGACAACTGTGTTCCAAAGTGGCTACACCATTCTGCATCCCCACCCGCAATGAAGGACAGTCCCCACTGCTCCACGTATTTGCCAGCAGATGGTATGTACGACCCACGATTCAGGCGCTGAACAGCCACATGTTAATGGCCACCACCCTGCACAGACACAGAGGACTTCCATCATCACAGCAAGTTCTCCCGGAAGTGCTTCTCCATTTCAGACTTAATGGGTTATATTGCAGGAAAAGAGCATATATCGTACTGACTTTCTTTTTCCCCCACTGTGTAAATCCACCCTTCTCTCACTAGATTTTGATGGTTCTGAGCTTAGCTACACGATATCTTCCTGGGAATCTGGAGTCTTGGTTAGCCCTTTCTTCACTATGTGCCCACCGACAAATGACTTGACCCCTCCGACCCTCAGTTTCTTCATCATATTGCTCATTAGTGTAGTGCAAGGATTAAATTAGATAACCAAGGTGAGATAAATTAAAACATTCATCATGTGAAGCCCTCATTTCTAAACTGCTCACAGTTAACAGTTTATTTTACAATATTTCAGTATGGTATTTTGAGAACTCTTCTTGACCAGAAAAGCTTAATACTGTATTTACCCGATCTGGACTTTTATAACCCAAAAGTAGATTTGCTGCTTTTATATCACCATGAACATATTCATTTTCATGTATATATTCCAGTACATCCAGCTGTGAAAAGAAAAAAAGAATATAACGTTACACTGCTGGCTTTATACTGCTATTTAGAACCCACGATCAACTTAGATATTTTAAATATAGAGTAACAGGAGATTTTTATATTAACAATGACAAAGTGATCTATTTCACAATCACAGTTTAGTTATTCTAAAATAGCATTTCCAGTTGCTCATCCTGGAAAAATGTTGAATAAAATGATCTTCAAATATCAAGTGTTCTAAATGGACCACAAATGGGAAGAGCCCAGAACCAACAATGCCTGTACCTATGCTACTGACAGCCCAGCGGCCAGACCCCACAGCAGGAAGAGCACAGTGTCTGAGATCTACAGTACAGTAATCGTGAAACCCGCTCAGCAGTTTTTCACCCAAGCGATAATTGGAAATCAAGTCCTGGGGACCTCAGAACCAAACACCACGTCCCCGGGCATTCCTTCTGTGTACAGTAAGAGAGACATTCTGAGATTCTTCTTTAAAGACCTTTGTCCTTACATGCTACACACACCTAGTGTTCAATAAACGTTTACTGGCTTGTTGAATGGATGAATGGATGAACGGGAAAATTAATAAGTTCCATTTGACACACCACAACCCAGCATGATAGTTTCCTTCTACTTAAAATGGAAAAATAAAATGAGACTTAAGCAAAATAATACAAGACAAATACTGTATGTAGTATAAACAAACATATTCATGTGTGCTATTAAGATTTGAATGCTTTTTTATTAAAGTATGTGTTATTCATTGTCACAATTAATACTGCCAACTCTAATTCATACTAAAAACTTCTAAATACCCTTATAGCATTATATGTTTAGTATAAAAACGTAATATATATGGCCAGAGCTCGCACGGCTACAAATATAAGTGACAAAAGAGGTTATTCTTACAGCAGTTCAAGCTTATTCTGATATATAAAATAAAGCTGTGAGAAACAAAAAGATCAGACTGTAAAACCAATTCCTATTGAGTCTGCAGTGCCACACACAGCACATTCTGCCATTTATAGACCCCACTGTTACCGATTTCACCAAAGTTACCTCTACTCTCAATAACTGACATTTCTAGAGCAATAATCCTTCATTTTCTGATAATTCCACAATGAAGAAAGATTTGTACAATGGAAGAAGTAAATAATTAAAAAATGGAGCTTGTGAAATAAAGTCACTCCTTCTTACCATCCGGAGACCTAACTGTAGGACAGTTGACTTTCTAAAAGTCCCATTCTGGTCTGAGAGCTTCTGTAAATCTACTCCCAATCTTTCCATTACCATAAACCTGTAACTGTAAGAGAGAGATCAAAATGACATCTCCGAGACAATAATGCTTATAACCATCTATTAGTGAATTTGAAACAAGGAAAAATACCTCCCATCTAACAATGATGTGTAAAATATGATACAATCTGAACTTTTAGAGAATGAACACACATTAATAATACTGTTCTTAGTTTGCAAAAATATACTATTCCATATTTAGTTTGAAGTTTGTTTTCTAGAAGAGAACGCTGTACAGGATCATTCCCAAAAGTAGATACAGTTCTTTCCCTAGTCAACCTCTGAGAAGACTGTAGCCCAGCACACAGCTGACTCTGTTCTATGAGATTTTGAGCTGAAACACCCAGAGAGGTCCCATGAGGATTCCTGACCCACAGAAACCAAGTTATTGTGCCTTTGTTGCTGTAAGCTGCCATGTCTTGTGCCATGTGATTCACAGGAACATACATCTATTAGATCACACGAGGAATAGCTATTTGATTATAATATGTAATTGATTATATAATCTGATAATATATGATTATAACATTTAATGATAATTTCTTTTTACCTTCTTCCCTTGAATTCAGTTATACCAGATCCATAAAACAGAGGAATTCCTAAGTAATCAAGTTGTTTGAGTTCTATCCACTTTTTGACTGCAAAGACAAATTTAAAAGTAAAATGATTCACATTATTTAGAAAGGAATGATTTTATATTTGCATAGATGCTAAGACTTATTTAGCTAACCAAAACAGTAATTAGAACTTCCTAAAATACAAAAATCTTAAAAATAAATATGCTTCAGCCAGGCATGGTGGCACACGCCTGCAATCCCAGCACTCAGGAGGCTGAGGCAGGAGGATCGTTGTGAGTTCGAGGCCAGCCTGGGCTACAAAGTGAGCTCAAGGTCAGCGTGAACTGAATAGCAAGACCCTGTCTCAAAAAGACAAAAAAATAAATAAAAATAAATAAATAAATAAATACATAAATACACTTGTTAAATGGCCAAATTCTATGTGTTATCACTATAATTCACATACATACACACACTGACTTTTTAAATCAAACCAATTAAAACAAAAACGAGTCTCAGATTTATAAAATACTTTGGTACTGTACTCACAAATGTTTCTATTCATGAAGAAAATAATCGCCTTACATGCTAGCTAAATTTCTAACTATAACATATGTTAACTACAGAGACCCGTAGAGAGAGACCTCTTCACCCTTATTACCTGTATTTAAAAATCTAAAACCACACAGTCCAAAAGATAGAAATTGGGCAAAAAAATCATTTCACTCTGAAATTGTTATACAAATCCATTTAAACAATCAGATAGTTTAATCATTTTTTTTTACTTCTCTACCATATGTGTTTCATGTTTAAGACAGCTTTACTGATACACAATCAAGTTTAATGGGTTCTATTTGTCACTCTTAGTTTAAGGAGTTAGTAAAGACTACAGATGTAATGCTTTGGTAAGAAGAACAAAGGTAATTACTCAGGTCAGACCCATTCTGCTTTCTCCTAACCACGATTATACTGGTCCTCATTTCCATCAACCTCCTCAATGTTCTACTTAGCCCACCTATGTCACATGGAATTTGCTAAATGCTTTATTCTTCATCTCTGCTCATATTCATTTCACTTCCTCTGCTAGGTTTTACACATGGTATTTCCCAACATGCAAGCTTCTAATTTTCCAACATTCAAGTTTCTAATATTTATTAAATATCTTGACATTTAATCATTTTCACATACCTTATTCTAATCCATTTCATAATCATTTCTTTTGTATATATGCCTACTTCCTATTTTAATATATTTTTCTTATATCCTCCCTATCCAAATAGTTCTTTGTAAAATCAAATACTAATTTCATGGTGATGCATGGTGGTGCACGTCTATAATCCCAGCACTCAGTAGACTGAGGCAAAATGATCACTATAAATTCAAGGCCAGCCTGAGCTACAAAGTGAGACCTTGTCTCAAAAATGCAAAACAAAAAAAGAAATAATTTCATCCTACTATCTTGGAGAACTCCTTGTAGCTTAGATCAACAACTCAGAATTTTATGTAAAGCAACAGAAACAACTTTGACTTAAAATATATAACCAATTATGTATGCCATATCAAGATCAGTATACCATCTGCCTTGCTTTTATATGCTGTAACAGTTAACTGTATCGCTTTACAATAAAATTTCTTATGGAAAAGAATTTTCCAGAAGGCCAGAAAAAGACCAAAATATTAACACTCACTTTAGAAAGCACATATATAGAAGTAGCTTGCTTTGTTAATTTTACTTACTACAGTCTTTTTTTGCGGCTCTCTGATAAAATTTTAGTTCTGAAAATAATGGACCATTTTCTTGATATTCCTATGAAAGAAAAGAATAATTAATTTTACTAGGAAAATAATAATACTAAAGATGGAACTGGCATTTCAACTGTGAAAATGAGTACACATATGTAATATAAAATAATACTTGAATCATTTTTTAGAAAACATAGGCACCAGATTTCCACTAAAATTCTCAGAAAACACTAAATAAACTTCCAAATCTCATTTCTAAACAACATATTGTACTCTTATCCCAATATAGTCTTACACATGAAAGTAGTCTTATGGAAAGCAATGCTAAAAGCTCTAAGAATTATATACATAAGCGTACATAGACATTTGCTGTACACTAAGATGTACATCAGGGTAGACACTGGAAATTACCCTCGGGGCGCACTCCTCATAGCTTTACTGAGTACCTATTTTATTGTTTGTAAAGGCACATAGGCCATACACACAGAAATGAAGTCTCACGGTTGTCTTTAAGGACCTTACCATGCAGGGAAGAAAAAGGAGGGAAGAGTAGAGGAAGAACAGATTTCCATATACGGTCCCAGGATGATGCAGAGTGATACAGAACAGTGATTCATTCTTCAGTCTTAATATTTTAATAAGGTAAGAATATATTACAACCAGTAGGTTCATTAATAAGTATAAATAATAAAAAGGAAAATATTTTTACAAAAACAAAGGAATAAGGGAAGAAGTCAAATATACGTAAAATATAAACTTAGAAACAGCACTTACCACCTTTATTACATGGCTCGCATCTCTGTCTTGTTTATTTGTGGGGAAAGCTGCAGAAAGAGCACAACAGAAAAATAACAGTTGCTCCCAATTACCAAGTACCTACCAGAGACTGTACTAAGCAGTTATATATGTTAATGTACTGTATTCTCCTAACAAGCTCTTAGAGTAGTATCATCCGCATTTTACACAGAAGCTAATAAAGTTTGAGAAGTTCAACAATTTATCAAGGGACAGTAGAGTAGGGACTGACACTCAGATCAATCTGACATCACGCCCATACTCTTAACCATAATCCATACTCAAAAACTCAGAAATGGAAACCAACAGGTGATATTAACCAAGCAGATCAAAAATGTAGGGGAAAATATTTCCTAGGGATATGGCATTAAACTAAATAGATGATATAGAGTAAAATCTATTGATTCCATTTCACTAAACGAGAATCTACGATAATTCAGAAAACTGATTAATTTTAAGTAGAACGTTTAAGTTTAAAATAATTTCTACTTGATAAAATTCTAGAGTAAATTGAGTGAAAATGAGAATAATGTTTTTAAAAATCAATTTCTGAACCTAGTTATCAATTATTCCCACATTACACAATATGTATCTCATAAGTTCAAGTTATCTTCATTTTTAAATTTATATTTCACATAGTTTAATTCAACTTTTTAAAAATACAACCTTTAAATTTTAGAATGAGCCAACCCTTCCCTGCCCATCAGCGGTCCCCAAGTGGTCCACGGCCCATTAGAAATGGCACACAGCAGGCAGTGGTCTGTGGTGCGTGAGCACAGCGCCACCTATATTTGCAGCTGTCCCGCACTGCTGGCATTACAGCCTGAGCTCCACCTCCTATGGGATCAGCAGAGGCACTGGATTTTCATGGAAGCAGGCGCCCTACTGTGAACTGGGCATGCGTGGGATCTAGGAACGTGATTACTAGCCAGTTTTTAAGTAACAAAAGCTGCTCCAGATATTTCTTTTAGAAAAACAGCAACTACTGACAGTACATTTCAGTGACACAGAATGGATTGCAAACCTTGCCTATTAGTGTGACGTATTCAACCTGCTCAAGGAACTCAATCTGTCACTTCAAAGGGGAACAACAGCTGTGTTCAAGTTGGTAGATGACTCAAAGCCACACTGGAGGGGCTAACAAGTGAACATTGGGATGTGTGCCATGTTTCAAGCATTAACAAAGATCACAGAAGAGGCTGACCCAGGGCCTTCATTCTCCCAGCTGGTGCATGATCACCTATCTCATATTTGAGAAGAGTTTCAGCATTACCTGCCAACCACAAAAGATCCCCAGTCTGGGAAGAAATAGAATTATGACCCATTGCAAATACACCAGGTGAATCAACTTTGCACTAGAAGAGAGTCAACTGCTTAAGATGGCAAAGAAAACCTTCAAAACTCCCCCATTCTAGATCAAAATCAACGTAGAGTATCATGAGATTGCCACAAAGACACTGAAAAGTCCACCTCCATTTCCAACATGCTGTCATTGTGAAGCAGAGTTTTCTGGGGTGAGAGCAATCAAAACAAGATTATGGTGCTCATTGGGTGTCACGTCTCCCATTACCCCCAGTTGTGACTACCTGGTTGCAGGAAACAACCTAAGGGCTCCCACTCCTTCTGCATTATGGTGAGTTGAGTAATTACTGCCTTATAAAATACATAATACTAGTAAACTACACAATAAATGTAATGCGTTTGAATCATCCCACAACCAACACTCCCCTAACCCAAACAAAGGGAAAACTGTTTTCTATGAAACCAGACCCTGATGCCAAAAGGTTGGGGACTGCTGCTGTACATTATCTAGAAGGATTACACATTCCATTTCCAAATCTTAATAAGAAATTTATATGTACATTTATTTCTACTGTCTGTCTCAAATTTTGTCACTCATTCTTTTATTCATCTATTGTCCACCTATTTTTTCACATATACAACTAACCAATATTTATTAAGGAGCTAGAATATGGAAGGCTCTGTGACAGGTATTAGGAGTATAATGGCCAAAGCTAGGGAGAAGGAGGCCTGCCCCATTGTAGGTCCACAAAGAATGGGACCTACCCTAGAGAAATGGCTTTGTTTCCTGAGGTAGACAATAGAAATTTATCGCCTCTTATTTAAAAACAAATGGCCAATCTTTAAACATAACAAAATGTAAGAAGCTAAAAAGTGCAGAAGATTTTTCAACTTTATAAATAAGTTATTATGTTACTATTCTCACAAAAAGGTATCAACCAGTCCAAGCTTCTACTCCTTTCTGATTTTAGTCAGTATATTGCTACTACTTTATAATTTGAATCTTATATTATTTTATACAAACATAATCATGTTCCTGTACCTGAAACATTCCCAGACTTGTCACTGACAGCTACACAACAGTCTCTATAAACTTCTAAGTCAGGTTACATTAGAAACCTAAATCTAAAATCAGTTGACTAGAAAGCTCTAAGAGATGGATGTTTTGTATGAACAAATTGTTTCAGTTACTATGGTGTTTATTTACATTACAATAATCAGTTAATTAATGAAATGAATTTTTATTTCTGCTATAAGCCATGCTCCATTCTAGCTAGTGAAATTAAATTTTGACAAAAAATAATCATGATCTCTGTTTTGGCGGTCTGTTGGAAAAATAAGATATTCATCACCTACTCACACATAAATGTAAAACTGCAACTAAAAACACTAACAAAAAATAAGGATTAAGATGATCAATGTCCTATTCATTTAATATTAGTTAAAAAAATTCATTAAGATATGACTGCAATAACTTTTAAATTCTACACATAAGACACTTTTAAAGGTATTTTGTCATACTTTAAAATAAGCAGCAGTAGGCATTATATATATAATCTAACAGAGGTCAACACATATACATAAAACAATGATGCATCCTATAACTCATGAAGTTTGTTTTATTTATGTATGTATGTATGTAGATAGGTATGTATGAAGCAGGAGTCAAACTCAGGACCTTGTGCTTGCCAGGCAGGCGCTGTGCCACTGAGATATATCCCCGGCCCCTCCATGATGTTTTAAATTTGTTAAAACAGGTCAACAATCATAACAAATTTAAACAGACTAAGTTCATCAGCTAAAAGAACTGTCAGATAGTTTTTTTAAAAAGACATACTCTTGAAACTTAGAGATGCAGAGGAACAAAATAGACAGGAGGTAAATTGGTACGCCAAAACTAACTGAAAGTAGGCTAAATGTTGAATTTTAAAAAGCAAACAAATCTCAGGAGAAAAGGATTAAGTAACATGTTATTCCAAAGCAATGATGTAACAGAAAGATAGGAACAAGTATTAGATAATTGAAAGCAATTACCTAATGATGCTCTTTCAAAATATATAAATTAAAAACTAGCAGAACTAGAGGGAAAAATAGATAACAATAACAAAAGTAATGAAATTTTTTAAATGCCATTTCATAATGTGTAGGCAAACAGACAAATACAGATGGAGACAATGCAGGTAATAGTTTTTCTATTTTTTCAAACTCCGTATTTTTAATCAGAAAGCAAATCTCAATAAATATGGACTTAAGTATTAAGGTCATGTTCTCTGACCACAGTGGATGGTGCCTGCATGAAAAACAAATAATAGAAGTTGGGTACAGTGATGCACACGTGTAATCCCAGCACTCTAAAAGATGGAGGCAGGAGGATCATGACTTCAAGCCTCTCCTGGGCAATTCAGTGTAAAGGCCCTAGGTTAAATCTCCAAAATCACAGGAGGAAAAAAAATCACAACAGAAATTAGAAAATACGTTAGAATAACTACTAGTGGAAACATAAAAACTAGTTAGGATGCAATTAAAATGCTTCTTTTTTATCTCCCTTTGCAAGAATGTCAATTCCAGAAAAATAGAAATATTTTGCTTTAGTCATATGTTGTAAGCACCTAGACTAAGGCCAAGTACAAGCTGTTGAGTATTCCGTGAATTAAGTAAACAATAAACTTGCGCATAGAAAGAAATTTATAGCATTAAGTGTTTTTTAAGAAATGTGAAAAATGAGTAACATGACTGGCCAACTTAATTTAGGAAACTAAAGATATGGACAGTAATTAATAAAATCAACACAAAAGGCTTATGGTTTCTAGTTAATATTTCCAATAAAATAAATGAGAGCTGCTTCAATAAACAGCTGATTCCAAGGCTGGAAAGGTAAGATGAGTCACCTAAGAAATAAAATGCATGATAATGAATTTTACTTCAGTGGATTAATTAATGATCAACTTGTAACACCCAGCTGAACTGAATCAGTGTGGTTCTAGGTGTGGGAGGCCCACCTGAGGATTGTTGCCAACAGCATAAAAGGAAAACTGGAGGGGAAGATGGTGCACTGTTAATTCTCCTGCAGAATCTTGTCACACTGGTTTTTCTGACACGAACTCAGCTATTCTTATCACTGGAGGAACTTGGGTCCTCACTGTCACTAAGGATGGCTGTGGTTCTTTTCAGGAGAGCTCTGGTCCTTACTTTGAGCATCACTCCATGGCTCTGGTGCAGATCCCTCACCTGCTGGCACAGATCCTTCATTCTGCTGGTGCAGACCTTCTAGCTTCCACCACTGACCTTCGAGCCTTCTCAGTGCAGATCCTTGATACAGACTTGCATGAGACATTGTCGTGGGCTCAAGGTCTCTGACTAGACTTGTGGGTGTCATTGCCATGGACTCTAGGTCTTCAACTGAACTCACACAGGACATTGCTGAGGGATCCAGGCCTGAGCTGGATTCTTTGGGTCTCTAGTCCATGGGCAGAGCTCTTGCACTCTTCTGCATTTGACTTTTTGGGTGAATATTATAAAATAATACTATAAATGATGTGTCTTGTATAAATCTATTCCTTTGTAAACCCTGACTACAACAAATCTGGGACCAGAAAAGTGGAGTTGTTGCTATGACTATACCTGACCGTGGTTCAAGAGCCTTTGGGAATGGCTTGTGGGAAGAGATTGGAAAGGTTCAGAGATGCTGGCTGGAAAAGTAGTGCTGGAAAGCCTTAGGCTGCTCCGT